CGTTATATGAAATGGGCGGAGCTATCATACGATTTCATAATTTTTCACATTGTCTGTAGGGGAGCCGAAAGGAATTACTTTGAACGAATTTGGTTAGTACAGCTTTAATGGTTTAGAAAATATGTATATTAAACCTATTAGAGGGTCACGCCCCCTTTTTCAAAATATTCAAAACAACAGATGCAATTCGTTGTTCAACTAACAGTCTTGTATCTTATTGTGGAGCTTAGTTATTACACTTTAGAGGTTTTCGATTAATGTCGTTTGGTGTGGTGTAGACGTGGCATTGGTCTGGTTACGCCCATCTGCAATACTTTCTTATAGTGCAAAGAAATATGTGTACCAAGAGTCACCCGGATTTGAACTCGTCTCGTCATCCTGATCATTTATAAATTTAAAACCCTATATAAATCTCGATTAGTTTTAGGTAATACAAATAACCGACAGTTGCATCAAACCAAACCAAACCAAAAAATAAAAATGTGGGACGACTATATAATATATTTATTTCCCTTTCATATACGATATTATAACATGGCAACAAGCTGCTCCTGGCTTACAAGGAACGCTGAAACGAATACGACAAAAAATGGAACAGCGTATACATAGTCAACAGTTAGGCTCGTGGACGCCTGCATCACATGTTAAAGACTTTTCTCCTGCTGGCAGCCACCTGGTCTGCATGGGAATTAAAAAAACTTTCGTTATGGCACAATAACCACCACAAAAAACGTTCAGAAACAGTGCTGAAAATCATCATTTTTTTCATTAGAGAAATAGCAGAGCATCTCAACATATCTCATAGATAAATTTTTTTTAAAAACCATTCCAGTCGAGGCTTATAACAAAAGTATAAAAAATTGGATTAATTATTGGCAAGTTTGTATGGGCTCAGAGCCGATTTTGAAGGCGATAATAAATTATTAGTACTTAAAAACGTGGAAATCAGAAATTTTTTCTGTTCGGTATTGAAGATTTTTAGGCCGAATCTTAGGTATAGGCGATATAAGCAACTTTAAGCAGAATTTTAAAAACCTTTAAAGGCAAAGGAGCTAAAACTGTTAAAAAAAACCCAAAGTATAAATTTTCGACTTTCTGTTGCATAACTTATTATAAGGATTATAGTTTAGTACACATTACTTTAGTAGATCTCGACGACGTTTAATTTGCGGTTGAACCCAGTGAAATAATTCTCTGAGGTTATCGCTTGGTTTCACTGGTGGTTGAGTATCGGTATCTAACTTCTATACAATTTTACGAACTTCTAACTTCGAAAACTACTACAGCTATTGGAACTAAATTTTAGTGGCCTTCAATTTTCTTCTTCTCCATTTCTGTCAAATGTTTGGAAATCCTTCGCTTTAAATGGTGCTTAATTCTAAAAAATATCGTAGTTCCCACAATACTCGGTAGTGGTCCATTAACAGATGATAGTTGTCAGTAGCAATATTGTTAATATTTTTAAACTTCCGACACATCAAATTGCCATTCTTATTCATATATGTATAATGCAAGCTTAAATCTATATGTGTGCATTCTACTATAAACCGAGATAATCAAATGGACATATATACAAGACAGACAAATGAAAGCATTCAAGTACGTCGGTTAAGATGCTCCATGCATTTTTATTCTATTCAAATATTTTCAAGTGCATGAGAAGGAGCGCTCTATTTACATTACGTATATATGTGTGGCAATATATGTGTATAGATGCAGATATGACGAGAATATCTGTTGACAGCCGTAAAATCGTGCAGCATTGTAATCGAGCGCTTATGGTTGCAAGGGTATCTTGGAGCGCATTTGTTTTGACCTTGTGTGCCCTCTACGTTTGGCTATGCATATTTTTGCTTAGTAAAATATTTAAATGCAGCGCGTAATTTTATTTTCGGACTTGGATATCTAAAAAATTTTGTGTTTGCTATTTTTTTCTAGAAGGACAGCACATTTATCAGCCACAATTTGAGTCAAAATCTAATATCTAAGTTTAGAGGTTAGCATTAGTTTTTTAAAAGTTATTTATGTTTAGTAGTACCCTTACATAATAGTCTCTCTTAAACTTAAAACACAGTTATTAAAGACTCAGAGTTTCATGAGTTCTGTTGAAGATCGAATTTGGGTTTACCAAAGAGTTCATAACTAAAGAACTTGTCGATAAAATTAGATGCACTATTAGACACTCGAACAATGAAAGAGCAAAATATATAAAGTTCACACTAATAGTTTTTTAAATATATCCACACGTTGGGTTACAGGAATGCTTTCGCCTGTTAGTTATCGTAAGATCTTGTAAGTAGTGCTTTGTGATCTGGCTTCATGACAATATATTATATACAAAATCAATAATGGTTCACCTAATGGTTGTTTATAACACCTGAAACCAATCGAGATAGATATAGAGTTAAATATATATATAAATGATAAAAATATAGATATAAATGTTTGTCCATCAGTCCCAGAAAACATGATCGTTCAGTGTTTCGATCTGAAAAATTTCTTCGGATATGGTAGCGCTGCTTTCCTGCCAAATTTCGTGAAGATATCTTGTAAAATAAAAAAGTTTTGCATACAAGAACAATACAATAAATGAAGAAGCTTTCATAAAAGAACTGACAATGAAGTTATCGGAAAACTTTGCATCAATAGTGGTGAAATTGGACTTTTCAAGCCCCCCGTGCCTATACCGGAAATTCACACAGAATCTCTACCCGTGTGTCTTTGTGTCAAATTTGGGTAAAGTCGAGCCTATATAAAGTCCATATATATATATATGGAGACCATAATGCTCATATACTGAAAAAATAAGGTTTTCGAATTTTGAGATGGCTTTAAGGTATTACATAGGTTTCACATCTTCAAAAAATCGATTTCCTTATTGTCTTATTTAAGTCTACCATATAACATCTCTAGAATATTGTCCTAAGTGCTCAAAATAATTCGAGTAAAAGTTTTGAAAATACATCATTTAAAAGTTGCGCGCTCGATTTCAGATAACTTAAAACTTTAGACGCGTTTTTCTCGAAACTCTGGTTTCAAAGTCGGTATAATTTAAAAGGTCTTGAACAAAGGATTTCTTGTTGGTCAATTACAACAATTTAAAAAAAACGATGACACATTTTTATCAAAATTTGTATTTTTTCTAAATGCGTCAATAAAAAATTTTCACTTTTTTTTTCTTGGTCCAGTGCCTAGTTTGTAGTCTTAAATGAAACACATACTTTTTGCTTTTTACTTCGGATGTTCATGTAAGAAGTTTTGCTCCCAATGCGGAGGTACATTTTTTCCGAGGGACTTTCGGAAATGACGGCGCAATGACCGACATTCTCCTTTGTAAATTTCACAAAATATGTATCTTTGGACTAATAAAACGTTTTTATAAAATATTTAATTTAAAAAAGAAAAAAACACCGTTTTTTGCTCGATGAAACCCAGGTAACCCCTTAAACTGTATAGGTATATCGGTCAATATGTAAAATGTCTTAGCAAAATTAAATGTATATGCTCATTTAATTTTGCTATATATCAGATAGTATAATGTCGTTTCGGTTGGTCAAAAATGAGTGATATTTTAATGAAATTAAATGGACAAGTTTTCTGAAAAATTAAAAACTTTCGCATTGAATAAGATTTGGTCCAGACCTTGGTCAAAAGCTTATATCCCTAATATAAAGGTTTCCGATCCTCTTGTTGATGTTTTCTTCATACTCAATATATTAAATTTAGCCCATTCACCCTGTGCGAAAGTTCGGTTATTACAGAATAAAGCTCTTCTCTATTTCTTTTGGAATATAATTAGTATCTTGAGAGAATCTCCGACATGGTAGACTGTTTAAGAAAACGTTGTAGCTTGGAAAGGTTTTGATCTCAATGTATAAATGAGAGAAAATCTGAACTCCACATTTATTGGGCAGTGTTAGATACCTGAGCTCTTTTATGTAGAGTAAGTACATAAAATTAAAAGAAAATCCATATATTTTTCCTGAAATAATTTCTTAGTAATAATAATAATTCAGTAAATTTAGCAATTTGTTGGCAGCTTCGCGTTCTCTATAAAACATATTTACGCAGACGATCCGATAAGTACTAGCCTTAACGTTTCTAAGTGGACGAACCAGCTCCAAAGAAAGCGAAGACTGTTCTATCGTTCTGAAAAAAGAACTTGACGATCTCGAGAAAAGCAAAGCGTAAACAGAGCTCTATTATATCAAATTATAACTCGTAAATAATTACACCCTAAACAGCGTGTAGTAGGTGTGCCATGGAGTTTGTAGCATTCAAATGAAAACGTCGGAAACCTTATAAAGTATATATAGAAATAATCAGCTTGACCAGCTGAGTCGATTTGGTCACACCCGTATGTCTGTCCATATATACGCTAACTAGACCTTCAGATTTTGAGATATCGATCTGACACGTCCTTATCTCCCCAAGAGTCAGCTCATTTGTCGGAACCGCCGTTATCGGATCACTAGATATTGGTATCATACAAACTGATCGAACAAAAGCAAGTCCTTGTATGCAAAACTTTTTATTTCACCAGAGATCCTGGGTACATATTAAATCTGAGGTAACGCTTCAATCTTCAAACAAAATTTTCAAATCGGATCACAATAGCATATATCTGTCATGCAAACTGAACTTCTAATTTTTTTTGCGTTTTATTACGTTTTGCAAATAAATTCATTGATTTGGGTAAAACTTAATAAGAAATTTCTCCACAACCTTCAAACAAATTTAGCTATAAAAGTCCGCATCATCGCCCAAATTCAAATATTGTAGAATGGGAAGAGTTATGCAGATTCTAAATGTATTAAGTTTCAATAAAGTAACTAGTGACTGGAATAAGAGAGTTTATTGCTGGCTTCATACTATTGCTTTGGGGGTTTCCAAAGTTCTCTCTACAAAATATTACTCATACGCACTGTCGTCCATTTAAATGTACACATTAGCAGGAATAAGTAAATAAATAAATTAAATTTTATTATACTTATACTTACATACATTCCATCAATACATATGTCTGCATGTATGTATGTCTATTTATATACATTTGTTTGCATTAGATATGCCGCATACTGCACCGCCGGAACGAAGTAGCACTCACGACGATGAATTCCCAACTCCAACTTATCATAAGTAACAACCAAACACCACACACTTTGAGCATGTGTTGCTCCTGTCGCCACCATTTCGTTGTTGTTTTTACGCTCTTATCATCGTCGCTTGTATGTTGCCGTCGTCGTTGTGCTTCGCTTCAGCCATTCGCTCGCCATAGTGTCGTGGCTGTGAGCGTGGCGACGGACAACTCATTCGATATGAATTTGAACAAGGATAATGCGACGTAGAGGAGTGTAATCGTATTTGCCGCATGTAGTAGTCGCTGCGCGTTAAAATGCATTTGTGACGCTGCAGCGTTTGTAAAGACCCACGGAGAGCGCGGGGAGGGCACGACGCCGGTCGACGATTTTTGCGTTTTCTCGTAGACACCAGCATTGCGGGTCGGTAGTTGTGTGTGTACTGTAAGAAAAAGAAAGTAACTAATAGTAAGAAGAAGAAGTTATAGAAAAAATATATTGGAGCATTAGGAAGTTATAATGCGTGTTTGTATATACCATAGGTCTGGTATATACAAACTTGTATGTTTTTATGCATTGATTTAAATTTTTAAGTGAATAAAAGACGCATCTGCCATTAGATGTTTTTAGGGGCACACAGTGTGCGCTAACGCCGTTCTGGGTAATTGCATAAAGAGATTAAAATCAAGAAAAAACATCAACTTCGCTTGCACCGAAGCTATAATAGCCTTCATAAACACAAAAGATCCTGTACAGGAACATGATTTTGATCGGTCAGTTTGTATAGCAGCTATGAGCCATAATGGTCCGATCTGAACAATTTCTTTCATTCTGTTCTTGGGGCAATAATTTGTGCAAAATTTCGTAACATATATCGACAAATAAAAAAGTTTGCCCCACAAGGACTTGATTGCGATCGTTTAGATTGTATGATAGCTATTTCCTATAGTGGGGTCCGATCTAAATAATTTCTTCGGATATTGTACCGTTGCTTTGAACCATTATTCATGCCAAATCTCCATAAGATATTTCGTCAAATAAAATAGATATTCATATCATATCTTCATATCTTCAAAACTGAGTGTCTAGTTCGTGTATATACAGACAGATGGACAAATAGATATGGCTAAATCGACTCAGCTCGTCATGTTGATCATTTATATATATATATATATTTTACAGGGTCTCCGACGCTTCCTTCTGTGTGTTACAAACACGCTTTCTTTAATATGTAGAAAAGAATTTATATATCCATTCTAGTTTATTTTCATGGTGACCAACATTGGCTGTTATTGATTTTGCTGGTGAAACTATTTATAAAATATTTTTGACAAATGCTGACAAGTTGACAGTACTTGGCCGGATAATAATTTGGGTCAGTTTCGGTTAAACAGTCCAGAAATTTGTGGGAATGGGAAGAATATCTTCTACATCGCTGTCTCAATCTAGTTGTCGAGATATATATATATGATATTTTTATCGTGGACTTGACTTTTACGATACTGTCTTGTCCAAACCTTATACTTTTTATTATTTTTACTTATTTGAAAGAGCTGTTGTTTCCTTTTGCATTGACTGGAATCAATCAGTTTAATAACTAAGAGAGCCATTGAAATACATTGGCATTTCTATTATTTGGTGGCCAGTTAGTTCAATCGCAATTTGTTTAAGACAAGATAGCATGTACTCCAGAACTCCAACAGACTTTCTAGGGAAGATGTGGTTTTAAGAGAGCATCATCAGGTAGCTCAATAGCTTTGCTTCAACTTGAAGCATCACAGTGTTTCCATTGGAAGGTATCAAACAGATTTCAACAAAATTCGATCTACATGTCACGGATGCCACTTGAGTGTAGCAGAAGCTGGTTTTTCTCAATCTCGGCGGGCGATTTTTTGATCGATTGCAATTGTCGAATTTAGTCAAACTACCAACCAAGGCAGCAAATAAACTGAAATTTGTTTTATCTTTAAATATTTTCAATCATATATGAGTGCAGTTCGATAAGCAGTTACATTTTTATACATGATCAAGTGAAACTCCAACTTCTTTCACCTGTCTAAAAATACGCTTTCTGGAGCTCTGGAAAGTACTCCCTCGTGACGAAGAAAATCTACTGATTCAATCCACTTCAAACTTCTGTACGGCAAGTGACTTTTTTGAGGCAGAACATGGCGATTAGAGCATATTTCGTCGTCTAGTTTATTCAATTTGGAGAACATTGTTTTCTTCCCAAAATGGACAGACTTTTCCTCAATTGGGTTAAGAAAATGTTTTTCCATGCATCAGCAAGTCGATGTAAATCTAACCTTGAGAATCTTAGAAAATCGCGCTCATAACCTGTCCCAATAATAGAATAATTTTTGCATTCTGCGGAGAAGTTTCACTAGTGAAATCCTTAATTTAAACTTAAACAGCGTCATACACTTCTGCGAAATGGTCTCCTGGTGGCGTTTGTTATCTGAAGTGAGCACCGTAATAGCATCGCACCGACAGTTCTCTTATACTAATATTTAATAAAGCATTCGACCCACGTGGTCTCTTGAGACGCCATGTCTACTGTCTTAGCTATCACAGCTTCAATTTGTTTGAATATAGGTTTGACAATAAGAGATTTGGGACTTTTGTTACTGTTCGCTCTGTGGTAGCCGTTTTCGGGTATAAGGACGGACTCCAAAAAACTGTCGTGCGACTACGTTGAAATTCGTTTAAATTATTTTTGATGATCTCCTTCGAAGGAAAAGAGCTTTCATATTTAATGTGTGTTTGCTATAAAATATTCAGTAATAAGCTTTAGTATTATTTTTAATCGGCACTGTATTCCAGTGTCACAATGCGCTTTCCAACCACAAAAAAAAAACTAAGTAAGAAAGCGAGAGCAGTAAAAAGTGAAATATGATTTTATCACATTATGTTACGAAAATGTAGTTTTTGTGTAAATTTCTGGAAAAATATTTTGTATTGCAAAGCTTTCGCTGTTTATTGCACTTGGTTATTATTAATGCTCTGTTGTGTTGTTTTTGTGCTGTTGCTAGCGTTGTTTTGGTTTACGCTTTTACTAAATTCACTTAAAATTGTTGTTTTTGCGCATTCAGTGCGTTTTGTTCGGCATCCGCAGAGCGGAAAGTGTAGCCGTTTGAAGCAGTCAATTAAGGCGAAAGCGAATTTCAGCGCACTCACCGCCAAATGCTCGCTTGTAAGTGCTGCAACTGCAGCATCTTTGTTTGTATGGTTTTTTATATGTCGCATGCGATTTTCTGCGAACAACTGCTGTTGCTGCAACATTGTTGCACTTTTTTATTGTGCACAGCAGCTGGGCGCCTCACTGCATGCCTTTTTTACGCTTTCGCTTTGACTTCGCGTTGTGAAAAGCTACAATTTCTTTTAGGTCGCTAGTTTTTCTCTGTTTTTCCGCTTGTGCTCTTTTGACAAATTCGCTTAACCAATACGGGTGCTACAATGTAATTAATTAAAACGATGAGCAACACTAAATCTCTGTTAAACCCGATTACTTCGCCGGTATGGCAGTCAAGTCTGAGCGCACACACACGCACACATCGAAGAAGTTATAATTAAGTGGTGTTTTTCAAGTATAACTGTAATTATAAAAGTGCAAATACACTCTTACTGTTGTCTAATGATTTTTCTTTAATTACTTTTACGCAAAGTGATTCCGAGTAGTCCATACCAAGAGTTTCACCTTGCACCTGAGTGTCTTTGTGTGGATGCTCAGCGAAAAAGCGAGTTGCTTGTTCGATTCTTTTTCTTAAATAAGCTTTTAGCGGCTCAAAAGCTTGCGTTTTAATGGAAATTGGGGAAAATTGTTGAAACTAAACAAAATTAAAGAAAAATTTGTAAGAAGGAGGTGCATATTAAGAGAAAAATTTCATTAAGAGAACAGTATCAAGAGTATTAAGGTAAGGAAACAGATATTGATAAGCAAAATATATAGGTAAGCAAAGGATGAGGAAATAAATAAAGAATTTTTTAAGGAAAATAAGTAATTGAAGTGTTCTTATAATTACTGGATTAAAAGATTTAATCTTAAAAGAAAACATATAAATATATATAAATAAAACCTTTTTTCAGTGATTTCCGTTGTAAAATATGTGTGGATCCCAAATATCATATCAGTCAACGGCGGGTTTTTGGGATTAAATTTAAGATAGTTTATATAGTTCTGGAATCCAAATCACACAAGATAGACCAAGGATGGTATAGCAAATATATGGTCTCTGCCATCCAATTTTCAGCCTCACCTACGCGTGATACTTGCTTTTTGTTAGCGAACAACGCTCTTTCGATCGAATAAAGACGGTAAAACCTTATCATCTGCGTTGAGTAAATGTGGTTGCAAAAATAAGCAAAACTAAAACTTGGCAGCAGGCCCGTAGGCTTAAGTCGATAGGCCAGAACTGGATAGGAAGGTTGATAACACTCAATCTATAACCCATGTTATCAACGAAATTAAAATTAAGAAGTCTCAGACTGCGGCCCTTTGCACCCCCGTAGAGCCATAGGATGCAATATATCCAGAAATGTAGTATATTACTTCGGTTAAGAAATTCTTGGCCTGACTGGGAGATAGCGTCAAATTGAAAGTCTTTATCGTTGTCCTAGAGTACTAAACTTAACTACTGCCAAAGTGTACAATAAAGTGAAAGGTACAGGACTTACGCTACGAACTAGTTGCTGCTCTTTTCCAGACACAAAAATTAGTTCGCTGAAAAAATATTTCATTTAAATGAGGAAGTCAAGCTAGAAGTAATGTATGTATGTTAAGAAATTATACTGCTCTACATGGAGATTATGCCGAAGAAGAAAACCATATTGTTATTAAAACAAGTTGTTTGATTAATAACCCAAGCACTTTTCATTCTCCACTGTGCTGGGTTTGCGTCCTTGCTATCATCGTTTGACATATCGCATTTCCAAACCACCATTCTAAATTGAACGAATGTCAAATTTCTATTTTTATAAATTCACAATATTTTTCTTTTGATTTAACAACATAAATCTTATTAAAAAATGGATGCCTCTAATTTGAAGATTTTCATATAAGGCTAAGTACAACCTTTGCTTCAATACCTCTTCTCTTGCTTTTGTTTTCCAAAGAGAACTAAAACATATCTTTAAAACTAATTTGCCCTTGCTTTTCGGTGTGTATCCGGGTTTCAAATTCACTCTTCTCAGACTGACTCAGATCCTCAGATATGACTTGTCAGATGTGAATAGCAATGTCGATTGGCTTTCAAAGGTCTTGTACTCAATATGAGAAAAAGCTGGTTCTTGCGAAGAGAACCAAAATCTTTCTAACTTGTATCTTCCAAGTGACAGTTAAAATAATTTTTTTATAACGGTGATCGTTTTTACATTTCGGATAGGGGAGCATGGCTCCTAAAAATCTTAATGTTTATAGGAGACGACAGTTCGACGTTAACTTATCTCCAAGAAGAGCACACCAGATTTATAGAGCTTAGGTCAAATGTGTAAGCAGCAATGCAATACTTTTCAAAATTAATATAATGCAAATAATGCTTAACAGTGAATTCATCTTATTGACAAATTATATTGAAGAAATTTGGGGCGAAGCTTATTAATTACGCCCTAACGTCCTTGGTGACATTTGGCAGCACAGCTTCACTTAGTGCATAGTTCATGAGTGTTCTACGCTGAAACAGTTATTCACACAACTAACCGGATTTTGAGTTTTGCACTGGAACACATTTCAAAATTGAAATTGGCTGTTGGAAAATTAACTTCATGTGGGCGCTGAAGTGCATAAGAGGTAAAGATGCTGCACTCTTGCCATACTAATGCCACTTGGCTGCTGTTGCTGTTGCTGCAATACCATGGGGATGTCAGACAACATCGTTGCGTTACTCGTATTGCGGTACATCACGACAAACAATAACTGTACTTGGTGAGCTTAGGTTTGCAGGGTTGCACCGGTGCTGTGTGTGCGCCACGTCAATATGCCGAATGGACCGTATGAATGCAGCGTGCATTCAGTTAGAAAGTCAGTCTCCAAAGCAAAGACGCACGGCAGTGCAATGCTGCAACGGTGCAACGAAGCATTCAGCCACCAAATTACGTCAATGACGTTGTCGAGCGGTGCATGCAACATCATACGCTCGCATACACCTACAATACACTACACGAACTAAGAAGATTTACAGACATCTTCGAGATTTCAAGTATGGAATGCTAAGCTACACAACAGTGCGCTGAGTTCAAATACCCAAGCAGTTGTTAAAATGTATGTAATGTAGTTTCATAAAAGCCACGCACACACACACACACCTATAGCGCTACAAACCGATTGGTGTGCATTTTACCAGTTCAACGCTTGACTTGTCGCTCACTTCCCAGCTGCGCTCTTGTTTACCGGGCCACTTACAAACGGCATGTACCCGAGCGTCGGCACACTTTATCTCACCAAACACCGTAAGTACCTAATATATGTCTGTCTGTATGTTGGTACTCCCACATTACAACAAATTTTCACATTTTTTGAACTTACCTTCCGCTCCGTTTGTCAGGCCGCTATTCACGCTGTGCATGTTGCCGTTTCCATTGTTGTTGTTGTTGTTAACGTTGCTATTCACATTACCGTTACCTAGGGCAACGCCTGCAGCATCGCCCAGCGCTCCGTTGCTGCTAAGCGTGTTGGCGCTGCCAAAGAAGGCACCGCCAGTGCCACTCAGACCGGCGTAGATGTCATTTTCCTGCATTTGATTTGTGACGTGATGGGTCTCCTTGGCGCGCACCACTTCGTTGAGTCCTTTGTTCTGATGGTTCGTTGGCGGTTTGCGGCGCGGCTTCGGTGTGGTGTAAACGTAAGGTGTTGGCGTTGTTGTCGGTTTGGGCGGTAAACGCAGTTCTGCAACAAATAGTGTAAATTAAAATTATTTCTTATTTTTCTTCTGCGGACAATAATTTATTATTTTTATACTCTTGCAACATGTTGTTGCAGAGTATAACAGTTTTGTTCACCTAACGGTTGTTTGTATCACCTGACATTAATGAAGACAGACATAGGCCTATATAAATTGTATATATAAATGATCAGGATGATGAGACGAGTTGAATAACGGGCTGAACTGCAAGCTGTAACTTGAGTAAAAAGATAAGATATCTTGATGAAACGTGGTAAGGGCGAGTTCGTAGATGTCCGCCCACAAAACGATATTATTCAAGACGTATAAAGTGCCATACCTAATACTTAAATTAAGGCACAGAACTGAAATTTGGCTCCCAAATCAATAAAGCTATATCACCTAAATTTCTTACGATAAATGGGTGAAATTGGATAATAACCCCGCCCACTCCACATAAAACGGTTTTGTTAAAAACTTTTAAAAAAATAAATGCGTCAGAGACATATAATTTTACATCCAGGATGGAACCAGAGGGCTTTATAGGAGCCGGTGTCAAAATTGGAAGATAGGCGTGTCACCGCTCACTTTTAGGTGAAATCGCATATTTCAGGACTTGCTCAACCGATTTCAACAAAATTCGGTACATAACATTCTTCTGATATGATGACCTAATAAAATACCATAGATGATAATCGCTTCACCGCCTTTTTGTTCCGACTCTGTTTCACTGAAACTAGGCTTATCCATTCAGTGCACTATGTTGAGGGTTAAAGACAAAAAAAGTGCTTAATTTTTAACTAAAAGCTTTTGCCGAGATCTTGCGAGGTTGCAGGCAGATCCCTTGAGAAAGTTTCAAGTTAACTGATAACGTGCAATAGGAATACAACAAATACTACAAGTACATTTAAAATATTTCATAACAGTTAACCGTTAAATCCTGGTTTATGAGGATGGGTAAACTCACCCATATCCTTCAAACATAATAATTTCGAGATAAAAAAAATCTGTGTTTTTATGCCAGCTTTAAATACCAATAGGAAATCTGAGAACCTGAGCGCAAGGGATTGTTTCTTTCCCACCTAACATCAATGGACATGTTGTTTCGTAAAGCCTAAAATCTAATTATTAATATAAATATATTTGTATTAGTCCAATTTCTTTTAAATTGAAACCTTCGGAGTCAAGGAAGATTCCTTGTCTCAACTGGGTTAGGTTAGGTTAGGTTACGTCGCAGGGCTGATTCTCACATCAAAGGTGACGCAGCATCCCACTTGGACAGCTGAAAATTCTGGTCCATTATAATCTCCGAAACTCCTGGATAGGCTATTATAATCTCAGCAACTTCGCCAGGTTCGCCGAAAATGTGTCCATCGAGCTGTATCAACTTAGGTCTGGCAAAAGCTGGACTGTTGAAAACAAAGGGTCTATGTAATCTCACCGCGTATGAGCCTATTGATGAGAGAGATGAATCTGGCTAAAGGAAGTAGTTCAGAGGACCACTAGAGTTCCACTTTGGGCCAGAAGGATTTCGCAGTCGCAAAAGTTTGGCTTGTTGACTATATGGTAGATCAAATTCTAAAGTGCAAGAGAACAATAGGGTAGCAACTTTAGCAAGCTCATCGGCTTTGAAGTTTTCAGCGATTCTGCTGTGATCCGGCACTAAAACAAGTCGGATACTGATACTATTGACAAAGATGTGAAACACCCCTTGGCAAGTCTTGAGCGCACTGTCAGAGAGCTCAAGGCAATATTGCAGCTCTTCAGAGTGAAAGCTGCACTTCGGAGTAGTACATCTACTACTACGTTAGTTGTAGACTAGGCATTCGCAAAAATAATGTTCCGACATTGCTTATATTTTCTGAGGTGAGATCTCATCGAAAACAGCCTTGTGTTGGCACTTGCCCCGCTACTCAATACCCTATTTCCTAAAAGTGGAAATTTTTGGTTTGTTCATCATCCAAAGTTACCAAAAGCTACTACCTTTAGTAGCGCTATTTCAAGATATAATAATACATACTCTACTTTGATGGCGTTGAGTAGTTATGAGCCCAAAGATGCGGGCTATATGTAATACTAATCGGAACTGTCAGAGAAATTGTGTAAACGAAAGTCGTTAGCGCAGGCTTTACCTTGGTCCAAAGCACGGTGCATTATGAGGCGTAAAGCATACTCGTATAACACAGCAGCAGCAGGCATACGACAGAAGGCACTTTGCTTTAAAATGAATTTCATCAATATTTCGTAGAAGTATTCGGAAAACCCACTTTACCGCAAACTATAATTTCGCATTTCAAGCCAGTTCGCCCAATTATTGGCAGACAGTTTTATTGCCCCGCAGCGTAGCTTTGGTACATATGTAAGTACATTGGTAACCGTGAGCCTGACTTCTATGATTCTTATTTCTTCCTTCCTGCCTTTCGTGCTTGCCTCAGTGGTTGCGGTCTTTTTATTGCATTTCTGTGAGTCATGTGGTTTTTCGGCTTCAGTCATTTTGTGGAAATATTATTTCCTGCGCGTTGGTAGCAGGTTAAAAAGCAATCGCACCGCAGCTCAGCACGGTGCGGCTCCCCCCTGCAGGTGATTGCAGTTGCATTGCTTGAAGCGAAATCACCGCAAGCTGAGGAAATTTTCACCGTCACCAGCATTCTATTATTATTATATGGAATAAGAAGATTATTTTTATGTGCACGCATATGTATTTGTGTGTGGTTTAGTGTGCGCGCGATGGCGATGAATTGACGGAGACCGATTTGAGCAACTGACAAATGTGAAAATTTCCGGTTGAGCTGTTAAGAAGTTACTTCAATGTGCACTCACACAGATATATCAACTCATATACAGAGGACTGAGAGCTTAAAGTTTGGTTAAATTTAAAAACTGAGCGCTTCTAATTGGAATTGAATTAAATTTCAAAGATAAATGATTAAGATGAGATAACATTTAGACGAATTTTTGATATTAAATTAGAGATCGAGAAGAAATATCTTTAGTATAAGGTATAGTAAAAAATAATCTGTAATTTTTCCAAGAGATGGCTTTAGTAGTCTGTACCTCGAAGTTTATAAGTGCAATCTGGTTACACTACATGGCTTTAGAAAGATAAGATTTTGTACTCAAAAAGTACAGACAGCTTTATAATTGCTTGAATCAATATAATTTAAGAATGCCTCAAAAGTGGATATTAGCAAAGAGAAAATATGCCATATTTTACAGTCTTCGATAAAGGCGAAAAGGCAAGTCAGGCTTTTGAAAATAAGAATAGTGTTTATGGATTTGGTGCGGTTTCGTCGATTCTGTTCCGGAAATTTTGATGTCAATCAAGCACCACGCTCTGGTTCAGTTATTTAAAATATCAATAAAATGATGGAAACCGTTGAGGCCGACCGTTATGTAAAAATGTTTCGATTGCCCAAGAGCTTAATATTGCTCAAGAAACTGTTTGGAATTATTTAAATGAGACTGGAGACAAAAAGCAATTCGTACCTGTTCTTTCCTGTGGCGAATGATTTTATTGGTAAAAAATTCGCCCCAAGAGAGGCTTGTGAAAATGAAAGGTCCCAGTTTCCAACTGCAGCCGATCCCTCTTTCATTTTAAACAACGCTTAAAGACGTATACACTCAAGCAAACAAATTTTGATAATGAACCTAATGCCTTTACAATGAACATATGGAAAAATTATATTCAAATGGTATTTAGTCTTAAATGACAACAAATTTTCTTATTTTTTTTCTATCCCAAAAGGTCTAATACCTACATTGTAACGTATCTAGAGTAAGTTAAGACTTGAATTCTTTCTTTTTTCTCTAGAAATTTTTTAGGTCTAAAAAGCTACCTTTGCTATCTTTTAAGCGAAATTGATCTTTGCAAATTTTAATAAGCAGTAAATATCGGACTTGTCTCTTAGAAGAGCTGGTTGAATGTGAAGACACATCAAAGTGGAAATGAAATTCATATTTAATGATGTATCCAAATTTTCGCTGTGTTGGAAAGTATTTTTGTGTTCGCGGCTAACACAGCTCTGTTGAGCTTTTATTGTTGTCAGGCGGTTATCAGTACAAAACTTGTGCGAAACTAACAAAATTTAAATCAGAACTACACAACACAACAGAGAGCACCGAGAGACTAGACAATATTCCGCTTGAGTTTTTATTTTTGAAGATTTTACAGATTGGTCTCCTTACAAACATTGTTAGTTGTAGTCATTGACTTATTAAGCTTTTCGGAAATTTGTGATATGCGTAAAACTTATGGGAAAATAATGGAAGGTCTTATCCACTTCGATTAATATCGGTGAGACGAGATATCCATTTTATGGAATGATTCCATCTTATCCAGCATACATCATCTTATGTGGGAGCGTCTAAAAACTAATATTATTTGACTTCACTTTAGCTAGACGCAAACATATTTAAGACTAGATAGAATATACATATGTCGTTCAAATAGTTGTTAGTCCCTTATCTCTCCGCATCGCGGGCTGCGCAATGTGGAAACGAATACTTGAGCAGTTCTTTTTTAAGTTTTTGGCTTTGGTATTGTTGCTTGTATTTCCGAAGGAGGATGAATCGATGATGGTAAGAAAGGTATCAAAATTTGATGTATATGTATATTATGTTCGTCTATCGATTTAGATGTTATCGAAATCAAGCACTTTAAATGGCCTAATTAAAGTATTACATCGATCTAAATCGGATATAGTACGTTTAACTTCAATCTCTTCGATTTCTGTGCTTTTTCATGACACGTGTGGTACAGGGTGTTTTTTTAACGTATGGTTTCAATGAGGTAATACTTTTTTTCCAAGTTGGTCTTTTTTGACAGCTTTTATTTGATTTATACTCAGTATGGTTCGCTATATCATAATGAATAGACCTACTCCGGAACAAAGTAAACAAATTTATCAAAAATTATGGTTCAGTTCACACGACGCAAATTTTTAACTTTGTTCAGTAATGAAGCTCAGTTTTGGTTAAACGGGTACATTAGTAAACAAAATTGTCGCATCCTCAAGTCACAGTTGGGTGTGCTCTATAAGCAGAGGCAATCATTGGCCCATATTTCTTCAAAAATTAAGCCGGTAATAATGTTAGTCAATGGTTGAACGCTATAGAGCAATGACTAATGACTTTTTCATGCCATACAGCCAACGCAACAATCAATTTATTGAAGAAAACTTTTGGTGAGCGCATTATCAGGCGTCGTGGGCTTGATTTAATACCGCTGAACTATTTTTTTTTTATTACTTTTGCATTTAGATGAAGTCGCTTGTCTACGTAGTTAAGAATGAGACGATGAACGCATTGAAAAAGAATATTTGGCGAGTATTGCTACAAAAAGTGGTCGAAAATTGGGCCTCTCGGCTGGAATTTATTCTAGCCAGCCGCGGCGGTCCCTTGCTCGAAATCATTTTTCAAACATAATGGAAAATCCTTATATTTGTCGAGTAGAACTTGAAAACCACAAGTCTAAGAAAAACACCCTTTATTTGTTCTTTAACTATAACTGAGTACTATTTTAGAGTTTCCAGTAAAAATTAAATTAGTCCAAAAATATTCGAAAACTGTGCAACGGGAAGGAGCGGCCGCTCTAGGAAAACAGCTTTTTTTGTAGATAATGAATTGGCTTTGATCAAGATTTTAACCCATCAGTAACAAAATGAACGGACAAAATGTGATTAAAATCTCAAGTCGGCGGTAAGTACTATCTGAAGACTGTGCCGTACAGCTACGTGTTGAAGGTTGTAATTTGGTTTACGATTCTTACTTTATCAACTATTTGAAGGATGTATCTATGCCATTTCCTTCTCTAGACTTGCTGGAATTAGTTTTCAGCAGTTTAGAAAATAATTTTAAGATCCTTTCGGGGATAAAAAATGGTCTGTTACAGAGCGTTTGAAGATTTTTATCTTTAAAGTTCGCTTAAATTCACTTTTCCTTACTTTTCCCACTGCATATACTGTGCGCAATTTCAAATTACTGCATTAAATTCATATCCTTGAGCTATGCTAGCAACTATTTAATCTACCGTTTGACATTGAGAATATCCGCTGTTGGAGAGCGGAGCAAATGCTGCACGAAATGGCGCATTTTGTCTGTCATAATGTAATAAATTCACGAATTGCAGTCAAAAGCTTTTATAATACTAACAATTCCACATTGCATTACCCACTTAAATCGTGGTGGTGAGAAAATAATTTTTCTTCAGAACACACGCATATTCAAATACACACACACACGTATGTTAGAGTCTACCTACAAAAATGCAAGCGATGAGCTGCGCTTAGAAGCCAGAACAATGCCAACAGTCTATGTTGCTCAAAGAGTAAAAGGCAAAGGAGCGCGAACACACACACACACGCAAACATATAGTAGCTTTGAATTCAATTTACAGTTCTGTCACCCGCATGGCGAATAGTGAATGGAGAGAAATGGCAATAAAATCGAATCGACGCACATTCATTCGTTTAAATGAAATTTTATTGCAGCTAAAGAGACAACGGCGCTGTCGGTGAAACCGATTTTCGGTTGAAGAAGTCTTTTAAACCACTATGCGGATGTGTTTGTGTCTGTGAGTACATATGTTGGCTGGTTTGGCGTTGTGTCGGTCCATTGCAGGGGTGCCCAACTTGTATATGTATGCAATTGGCTTTGTGATTTTGTTTGTTTTTGTTTTCTATTTGCTGGCAATCGACAATCGACTAGTGAAATGAAAATCCCTACGGCATTAGACACATTAAACTAATATACTATTTGAATATACATATGGCATATGTGTGCACCAATTTTCATTGTTTTATAGCGGAAGATGAGGCTGAAGCTGAGGCCATGCCGGCTGGTAGCGGATATGGCTGTAGATCTATTGTCGAACGGCTGTCGAAGAAGAAACTTTTCACCAAATTGTGCCATACTTCATTGTGGATGTATTACATCCGTGCGACTTACACACACACATACGTACACTCTCTCTATCTTTGTCGAGCGATAGGTGTATCTCGATGCGATGCTGATGCCGCTTGGAACAAAGGCCGCAGCGTTGAATGGATTGGACCGCTGAGCTGCATGGCTTACATCCACACATAGCTGTCGCTCTGAGTGGTTTATCTATGAGTTGTAGCGAGAGGAGAGACAACACAATGACACAAACTCATTGGCTGGCTGCCGGTTCGTTTGATAGATATTGTTTCACCTCACCCCACACTCATCCAACATACATATATACACTTAGCACCGCATCACTGTTCGCCATTCACTAAAATCCCCATTGATTTATCGCGCTCATATAATGGCAAAAGAAAGCATAATAGATAGTAGGAACACTCTTGGTTTGTTGTAGTTGGTCGGTTGGCTCATATGATACCCTTCATTATGGTGCCACATACACGCTTGCATATAAATGAATATACATCACATCGACATATATGCATTTAGGTAGATTGGTAAAAAAAGTGCCGGCAAAGCAATTGCAATGTATAACGATCCAATCCATCCATCTAAGCTCTCAAACTCGCAACTTCCCACTTATAACAGATGAGAGCAAAGCAGATGCTCGTACGTAGGATACCCGTAGGAAAAGAGATGCGCTAGGCATATGCCTTTCTCGTATAAATCTGTTCAAATTCCGGCCGTAGCGAACCAGTTTGTGTTAGCCTAAGGGTATCCATAGTTTAGAAAGAGACTAAAACGTAGCAAGTACTCCTAAGGACAGTTTAGAAAACGTCAGCTAATTTTATGAAAATTCCTCACATTCATCCGAATATGGCGTGTTTACAGAGAGGTTGCTTACGAGGCGAAACATTCTACCTAAAATGAAAACTCTGTTGATTTCCAATTCGATCTTCTCAAATTGATTTCTAGAAAGCTTGGAGTTTCTATCAGTTTGCTCCACAAAGATGCTGCTGTCGAATGGCTTTGGGTATCCGGGACGTATAAATATCGACAGCATGGTTGATGATTTTAGGAATGTACCGGAAATATTTGAATTTGACTGGCTGAAATCAATTAGATAGTAGTTGAGCGAATAGGAGAGATGTCACACCTAGTGGATAGTGTACCACTTCACATATTGTTATTATTTATTGCGGCTGAGGTTGTTAAAGTGTATGGCACACAAGTCAGCTAAGAATGTATTTATTGGTGCTTCTATCTCTTCAAATGCTAGAAGTGACTACTTATGAGAAGAGGTTTCCTAATATCCACGCAAAATTTGGAGCATTGTTCTCTGTGATACTATAATTGGAAAAGCCTGGCTGGAAGGAGGAGCATTGCGGCCTAATTATAAAGGTGTTGCTCTGAGGATATATGGAACACTGGAGCTTTCGCGAATCCTCTTATGTATTTATCACAAAATCTAATTCCCGCTGATCAACGATAACGGCCTAGTTTACAGCTGACCGGTCAAGTGCTCACAGCAAGTGAGTTATGGTCTTTGTACCTAGTTGCTTGGTTATTGGTTTATTTTACACCAAGAAGGAGAGTAGTTTGCCAATATTAGACCTAGTTTGAGATCTGACTGACAAGAAGATTTGTATGTCGACCTCGATATTCAGTTCGACTCTTACTTCCTTGACCCATGTACTATGCAGTGGCAGTGAGTGGTAAAAAGTCGTAATATACTTTTAAGTAGATTAACGCTCTCTTTGGTTATATACAAACATTAAAGTCGACAATTACGGTTATCGTAATCGAAGGTAATTGAATATTTCAAAAATGTATACAAGAAAAGTCTGCTGATGCTCAGACGGTATCCAACTTACAACAGCATCACTGAGGATAACGATCGTAAATCAAGTATCACCCACTTTGATACAGGAAAGCACACGTGCTGAATTACGAAATCACTTAGTTTTTCGATTGTATTATTAATTCTTGATCTTTAGAATAAAAAAAAAACAATTTAAAGAACAGGATAAATGGAAATGGTCTCGCTTTATGAAGACGTGACATTATAAAAAAAAGAAGTGTATACAGGTGAATATCACCAGTACAGAGGAAGATAACTAGTAAGTTCTCTAAAAGAACAACAATAAATTTGTCAATTGTCTCTTAGAAAATAGAGAATGGACTGCACTTAGCAATAATTCTAAATGAAATGCACCTAGAAGCTAACTTTTTAATTTTCCCTGCTGGGATTGCAAAACTGATCCAAACACCGCTTTAAATCTTAGTGACTTAAAAATAAACAACACATACTACACTCATACATACCTTGTAGTCGTATACGCGCTTCGCTTTTGCCCAACGCATTGACGCTGGAACAAGTGTAGGCGCCAAAGTCGGCCTTTGTCAGATGACGTATTGTCAGGTTGAGATGCCACGTGTACAAGTTAATCATGGCCTCCGATATGTTGTACTTGTTGCTACTATGCAGCTTTAAGTTACCTATCCGAATGGTAGCATCATCAACATTGATAGTCGCGGCGAAAAGATAAAACAAGAAAAAAAGGGGAGATAAAATAGCAAAAGAACAAGACATTGAGTTGCATGAGAAATGACAGGCAATTACATCAATTACATTGACTTTACTACAATACTACAGTTACTACGTTTTTATTGCAGAAAAGTCAGGACGCCATGAGCTCGGACGAGTTGAGACGAGCTGAGGCGAGACATCACTGCAACAGTGAGTTCTGTTAAAGTGCAATATACATTACCTTCGTTGCGATACCAGCCATTGAGCGGTTTCGGATACACTTCTACAATGCATTCAAGTGTGACTTCACGTTCAACGGGGGCGCCCAACAGCTGATTGACAGCCTTAATTGACGGTGGAACTGTGAAAAGTTAGAGGTTAGTTGATACAGTTAGTAAGAGATATAAGTTGAAATATAATAGTTGCTATGCTATTTATTGTATACAGTTAATGAAGTGGAACTTATTGCTAATACTTATATATTTTTAACTGTATATTATTGTTAACGAAACAATTTATTGGACTTGAATAAGTGTCTTTAGGTTAGAGTTATCATTTGGCAGGCTGAGCAGAAAAACGTTAACTTCGGTTGGACCGAACTTACAATACCCTTTAAATATAAAAATGTTTCCATATCAGAACTTAAGTTTGATCGTTTAGTTTGTATGGCAGCTATATGCTATAGTTGTCTGATATCGGCGAAACCGAAGGACTTGTTCGAGTATATACAGACAGACAGACAGATGTACATTTCTTCATCGACTCAGCTCATCACACTGATCCTATATATATGTATATTATAGCGTCTTCTACGCTTTCTTCTGGGTGTTACAAACTTCGACTTAATATACCCTGTTCAGGGTATGTGAGTGGTATAAAATACGTGAAATGGTGGTGAAATACCTTCTACTAATGAGATTTTAGAATACAGTTTTTAAATTCTTCATGTATTTAGAAGTGTATCACCCAATGTTTTCCATACCATATACCACACCATGTGAAATTAGAGAAGCTTTATAGAAAATTATCAGATTCTTCCAACTGGCCATCCTGAAGCGTGGGCTTCTGCCATCCACCTAGGTCAGATCCACTTAACTCCAGATCGGAACTCAAAGTTTAAGGCTGTAGCTTTGTTGATAAACGCTTTAAGTCTGCTCTGATTAAGCCATGACTAGAAAAAAATGTTAACGACTGCAAATTCATACATGGGCTCAAAATTGGGTGAAAACTACAAATACACTACTACTTAAGATCTAGCAAAGTTTCTTTATACGAGTATACAGCTACAAATCTCAAAATATTATATTCAGTACTAGCGATCTCGATACCATAGTAGAAAGGATTTCATGACTCTATCCAAACTGTATGAAAAAGGTATCCAGGTGTGCGTTAAAGTGCAGTTTCAATGATTTAAATTATGATTTTAAGTTTCTCTAGATAAGCATACAAGTTGTTTCAAGAAAAGAAGAAAGATTTTTCAGAAAAATGAAACGTGCTCGAGGTAAGAAGTATATGCTCTTACGGTTGCTTGAAATGTCGAACTTTTGAAGAGCGTAGAAGACCGATTCTTGTCCGTGGATAAGGGTATATATCATATATAGAAGCTTGGTAAATTTAGTACAGTTTTTCCAAAAAGCTCAATTTTACATTATTTCCTAAAGTAAATGAAGTTGAAACAATATTTAAACAATTCGAAAAAATATAAAAGCTGCTTTTAATGAGACCATCAATAAATATGCTAAAATATTGACATTTTTATAACTTGTACGTGACCTTAATTTAGGTACGCATAACCTAAAGCATGTTTTTTATCACCAGCACTCTTGAAGGCAGCCATTTTGTTACCTCATTCGTCATTCGATTATCGTAGCGCAAACAGGCAACACAAACATACTTCAGACGGCATAATGATTAAATGTCTCTTGTCGTATTGTCAATACGGTCACTTTAGCATATCATCACAAATTGCATAACAGTGACCGCAGGGTTGATTTTTACTCGCTCAACGAATATGTCATGACTTTAACACCATTTCAGCTGACATTGAATATATTTATCAATACCACTATACATGTTTATTGGTATATACAATATTTAGATACTTTTCTATTTTTATCTACTCGGTACGAATAAATGTTGTTTTGTTATTATTTGGAATCTAAATAGCTTTCCATTTCCTCCCATCACCACCACTAAGTGTGTCTAACGATTTTACTGAAAAGAGTATTTGCCCCTTTGTTGTTGTTGTTTACCCATTTTTATTGAGAATTTGCTATTTTAACATCTGTCTCTGGCAAGGACACGTCTGACTTAACTTATCTGTCGCTGCAGCTACTCTTTAGCCAGTTTACGACTGCTTGCTTCCCTCTACTCCTATAGAATAATTCTATGCTATAAATAAGGCGGATTAAAGCGCTTAGCCTCGCTGCCAGTCCTTTGCACAATCAACTTCAGGGGTATACATATTGGGTATATATGTTGGATATATATGCCGGGTATATATGTTTGTATGTTGTGTTTTCAGTATACTTGAGTGCAACGTACGGTATTCGTTACAGTTTCACTTTTACTCTGCCAACTTCGTTGTACATTTTTAATGTAAACCGATTAATTTAGTCGACTCAAACGGGTTGGCCGTACGAATGGTCTGTATTATGTTTACATCTTGTTGGCTTTTGTTCATTTAAGAGCGGACATGTGTTCAATGTTTATATATGTATGTACTTTTTAATATATGTAGGGCGCAGGCTTCAAAAGTGAAATCATAAATATTAAATAGGATATAAATAAATAACTACATATACTCTAGTAGTAATCATCAATGCTGTAGGCTTTTATTCATTTAAAAAGTCTAATTTAACAATAATAAACAATAAGTTGTTGTGAAAGTCTCCAGCAGAATAAACTTTCAGTAATTAAGGGAATTTTATCAATTATATACTAAACTGTTTTGAATTTATATATCAATAGTGCAACTAACTACCATAAGTACCCAATAACTACTTAATTAAAAATTGTCATGTAAGTTCCAAGCAAACAACTTACGTTACCGTTGCTGTAGCAGAAAATATTTCTCAAATAGTTTTAAGGAACGCAGCTTAGTTGACAGTGTTTTGCTAGGAAAAAATTCGGGTCTTTTCAAACATTGGAAATATGGTAATAGCTTATTGTAAAAGAGAAGGAAATATATCTCTCTTATGTTGGAGATGTTAGGTTTAAAGTCAGTTTCGAATCAGCAAACCAAGAGAAGAATTAATTGTGAAATATCAACAATTTCGAGGCTCGAAAAGTTCCCTTGTAGGAGTAAAGCTTCCGAAAGCATTTATTTGTATAACTAATTTGGTTATTAAATATTTATTACTTTACTGTCAGCAACAGGACTTCTGTCATATATCATTGTGCATAAAATATTATTCCTTGAGCAGATTTATGTTTATTCACAATGTAAACAAAACATATTGTGATATCTAGACATGGCTTTGTATTTGCTTTGACAATACGATCAGAGCATTCACATGTACATGGACACATGCAATTTTATGCAAGTAATTTTGTATAAATAAAATATTTTATTTATACAGCTCATGCTAAAAGAGAGACTATTTTATATAATTTCCGGTTGCCCCGAAAGGCAAACGAGAATTTTATATGATCGCTGGCAGCCTCTCAAAAAAAAAAATGTTTTTACGGCGCATACTTCTTGTTAATTCTGATCAGTAATTCATCTTTAACTGCATCTGATCTGAATTGATTAAACAATTTCAATCCCATAATGTACTGCTAATGTTACATCACATATGCATGCTAGTGTTACGATCCGATTGGATGCCCATGAAAAAGCAGCTACGTAATTTTTTTGAAACAGGCTTTCTTTGTACTTCAACTCAAAATATTGGCCCCATAGAGGAGTTTAGTTCTCTGTGAATTTAGCAAAATGTGAGATATTTCCATCCTAACCCCCCAATAGCTTTTCACTTGGAATATTGGGAAATTTAGATATTGAGAATTGAGATTGGCAGGACATTCGCAAAGATAGTGTTCTAGAGTCTTTTCGTTCTCCGCACACGCTCAACTTTCTGCCGATTTGCTTTACCAAAGTTTTTGAAGGTGGAATCGTAGAGATAGATGTCCCTACAATGTTGCTTAGTTCTCTATTACTTAAAAGTAGAAGCTTAATAGTCTGATATGCCTTCTATAGCTAGTGTTCTAAGGCTTAAATTGTTTCTCCAGAGTCTATTGCTTTAAGCAACTCTCGAAGAAGCTGAAGGGACAGTTTTAAGGAACTGAATTTACGTCTGCCCCAATGCGGGCCAACTCACTTGACCTTATTTCTTTGTAATCCTATATAACTGGGTAGCCGGAAAATATTCGGAAATTGATGCAGAACTTTGTGAATTCAGATCTAGTTGTAGACAATTTCTGTAACATTTTAAAGTTGGAAAAATCTATTTCCAAAACTCGAGCTCTCAGCGACAAACTCGTATTAACGTTTTTACCGTCAAATTATCTTCATTAGTGAGACTTATTTTCAGCTTAAAGGCCGAAGGCATTACTGGTTCATGTTTTTTTTCGGCTGAATAAGTTGTTAACATTACTGTTAACCGTGACGACGTTTATTCCAAAGACCCTGGACTTGATAAACCAGTCACCATTGATCAGTTGGAGACTATTCGATTTGGTACTGTATAAATTTTTGTACCCTGAACAAGGTATACTAAGTTTGCCACGAAGTTTGTTAAACCCAGAAGAGCCATGGCCGTCTTTTTTTGAGAATTCGATCAGAAATTTTTTACACGTTCTTTTCTACCCAAGAAGCTGCTCATTTGCCGGAACCGCTGATATAGTACCATTATAGAATATAGCTCTTATACAAACTGATCGATCAAAATCTAGTCCTTGTATGGCTTTTTTATATGGAAATATACCTTCACGCAATTTGGCATGGATTATTACTCAAGACAACGCTACAATCTCTGGACAAATTGTTCAGATCGAACGGCTTTACGTTAACCTTAATTCGAATTGAAGTTTCTTTATATCAAACAACGTGGCTAGAGAGAACTAGCTAAATGTTTTTCTTGTTTTATAATTGGTTGTAGTCTTAAAACTTTATACTTCAAAAAGCATTACGAAAAGATTTTCTAACATATTATTTATTAAAACAAGTGTACTAGTATTATACTAGATATCTTTTTAGAGACATGAGTTTTTATGTACTTATGAATATTAATTCAAGAACAATCTGCTTGGTGATGTCGTTTACTATCTCACTGGACAAGTGGGGGCATATAACGTTATGTACATATAATATATAAATATTATGTAACACATACTGTACTTTCATTCTGTATGTTCGCCAAT